GGGGAATCGGGGGGGCGTGTCCGTGGCCCTTCGTTAAGGTGGTGTCACTGTGGTTACCGTGGCTCGATGTGAATGGATGAGGCGACCAGCAGGACGCCGCAGCCAGGGACACAAACAGGCAAAACTTTATTTCATTACAGCCGGATGGAAAAGCTAAAGTTCTTTAAACTGTTACGTCCACTAGGGGGCAGCAGACTCTCAGTCACAGAGCGTCGTATCGTTTTAAGATGGCGGGCGTTGTGACTTGTGACGAGCAACTAAAGCTTCAAACATTATTATTTCTTTCTCAAACAGGCAGTTAAAGTCGACAGTATCCAACTCTTAACATCACGTTAGCTTTATACACATGTGGATGTTTTCTGTTTGTCTCTTTTAGAATTTAGAAATCTATAACAGCTTTTTACAATTTGACATTTGAGCACATACCCAGTTTTTTTTTTTTAAACACAGGTCAACCTGCTGAAACCTGACTCCTTTCTCATTGCCGGTCGACGAGTTTGAGTCATGTTGGACACCACGGACGAGCTGGTGGTTAGCAAACAGTAAGAAAGCAGCAGGAGGCCAGCGACATTGATCTGCTGGTTATTCATAGCTGGAAAGCGACTGCTGCGGTCATCTGACAGAGCTGACTGCTGATTGGAGCAACAGGTCGAGCAGCTACAGTGTGCAGCTGATCTAACCAACATTTTCTCAAGTTAGAATTGAAAACGCACAGAAAGATACTGACAGAAGATTCACAGAAATGAGCTGATAGCATTAAGTGGCTGAAATAAGAACGCAGCAGAAACCAGAGACACAAACACTGAACCAGCTGCTGACTGGCTGCTGGACGTCGGTCTGAGCTCAGATATGTTTTTCCTGACTGTGTGTTTTTCCTCTGACCTCCCTCCTCTGTAATTTCCACGGCTCGCGGCACCGCCTGCAGCCATGTGTCCGTCAGGCGTGTCGTCACCTGGGGCCGATCGTTTCCCAGCAGCGCCCTCATTAACCCTGTACCCGCCGCCCACATTGTCCCTGATCCTCAGCGGCTGCTGGAGCTTCAGACCGTCCCCGCACAGCAACCAGGTGCTGCCTGACCTCGCCTCTCTTCCGTGGGCCGTTACAGCTGCAGGGACCTTCAGAGAAAACCTTCCAGACACAATCACACCCTCTACCCCACCACCCGATCCCGGTTTCCTGGACTTTAAAGCATCGTTCTTTTCCACCTTCCATGGGTCAGAATGTGTGTAACACTGATTTTGGTGAAACTGGATCAGATTTTATGGAGAAAATGTTTTCTGTTTCTTGATGGACAGTAAAGTAACCTGGCGGAGCTGTTGGACTAGTCAGTGATATCAGCTGCTTGCTGTGTCTTGTTTGTGTTCTTCAGATACAGAAACTGGTGTCTTGATCTTTCACAGAGGACGGCAGCTGAATGGACGGATACAAACGGACATTTATTGATTTAAATCTGTAATCTGTAACATTTCTTCATTAGACGAGCTCAGTTCTATATGGAGCTGATTCAATCAATAATCAATAATCAGAAGCCGTCATACATTGACTGTTTACCATCCACTGTTTAGATCTTGGTGCTTTTTAACTCTAGATTGGAACCGGATGAAGGATTTTAGTCATCAGACGTCTGGATCTTAAGTTATCAGAGAAACAAGCTGAATAAATAATAAACAGGTTGACTGTTTATTCGACTGAATCCAGAAAAATATGATTGAAATATAAAATAAATAACATAGATTAGCATAGCATGTGGATAGCTAAGTCCAGGAAAGGAGAAAGTTGACTGCAGTTTCTATAAAATGTTGTTTATATAATGAGGCATTATCAACTTTAAATTAAACTGATTTTCAAACATTTCTAAATCAGAAATCTGAACATCGGATAAAGCCAGCTTCAACATTAGAGTCAAAGGTTTTTACAGAGTCTCTTTCATTACTCCATAAATCAGAATATCTCGGGGCAGAACTGACCTGTTGTTCATCCTGTTCAACTACAACAGGTTTGAGTTGTTGCTGATTTTTCTGAGTCTCCATTTAAATCTGAAGCTGATTATAACGAGCGACCTCCGTGTTGCAGATGGTTTCCATCCAGCAGTAAACAGTGAATCTGATCAATGACACTGAAGCTCTGATGATCAGAGACACACTGAAGGAGAAACCAGCCTCGATAAAAGACAACAAAGAGCCAAGATGGATTCCTTCTACCTGATCGATGAGGTTCACCTGCGTCCGTTCCAGCTCGAGAGGCTCCAAACTTCTGCTGATCTGATCCACAGTCTCTCTTTTTACCTTTAACTGCAGTGTAAAACTTCACTCCCACATTTCACTGCTCTTTTTTAAACTCTCCTCTTCCTCACTTTCTACATCCTCAACCAGGAAGTCAGTTCAGGTGTGTCTGGAGGCGGAGCTAAAACTTATTTATTTGGCTTTATGGAGGGTGGCAACCCACGTTAAGGTGCTTTACTGCCACCTATTATTATCCAATAATGAAAGCAGAACCTCTAATTTGGTGAAATATACAAATTCTGAGGTCTTTTCCAGTTTAATAGCATAAAATAATAATATCATATTGCTCCATATCCAAAATCCTCCAGCCTGTCAGGCAAACAGCTATATTGTGTTTTATATATAATATGTATTATGGGTCATTATATATTAAAAAGAATAAAGAAATAGGGGTTGATGAGTGTCCTCACATATTCAGTTACCTTATTGAATCCCTTCTTCCTGACATCAGTCACTGATTCTGTCGTTCAGACTCTTTTATAGGCCGGGTTTTATCTCCACTTCCTGTTACTGTCTGCTGTTTCCAAGGTTCATTATTAGAAGGTCGGTCAGCTCAGTTTATGGGAATTATTAAGGTTCAAATCCCCTCTGCTCCACACTGTCACACCAAACTCCATTCAAAAAACGGCTGTTTTAAGGAAGTAAAACCTTTATTTCCACCATCAGTGAGACTCTGATTCTCTTCAATCTACAGACACAATCTGCTCACATTGACTCAGTAACATCATTAACTAACCTGTGAGGAAGAGTTGGACACAGACACACTCACTGACTGTCTGTCATTAACTAACCTGTGAGGAAGAGTTGGACACAGACACACTCACTGACTGTCTGTCATTAACTAACCTGTGAGGAAGAGTTGGACACACACACACTCACTGACTGTCTGTCATTAACTAACCTGTGAGGAAGAGTTGGACACAGACACACTCACTGACTGTCTGTCATTAACTAACCTGTGAGGAAGAGTTGGACACAGACACACTCACTGACTGTCTGTCATTAACTAACCTGTGAGGAAGAGTTGGACACAGACACACTCACTGACTGTCTGTCATTAACTAACCTGTGAGGAAGAGTTGGCCTAAAGAGTGAGGGAGCTAGCAGACTAGTTAAACTTCTTCCTCCCTCACAAATGCAGTTTTAAAAGCTGTTGGGACTACTTTACTTTACATCATGACATTTATATTTACAGACACACACACATACTGGAGAGCTAGCCTCTCTGAGCCGCTCAGCTATGACAGTATTTAGAGTTTTATTATGATGAATATTATCGTTATTATCACTCTCTGACTGCAGGGCGACGGTTCGGTCTTCTCTCAAGTTCAAGCTCCCAGTCTGACCTGCTGACCTTTAACTGGTTTGCTGTGGGGGCATATCAGGTCACTGTGTGTGTGTGTGTGTGTGTGTGTGTGTGTGTGTGTGTGTGTGTGTGGGGTGTGTGTGTGAGGGTGTGTGTGTGTGTGAGTGTGTGTATGTGATTGTGTGTGTGTGTGTGTGAGGATGTGTGTGTGTTGTGGAAAGAAGATGCCTGCTGTTGGCGGCTGGCTGAATTATTCACGCTCCTCTGCGGTCGTCTCCCTCTCTGAAACCTGAGAGGAGAGGGTGAGGCGGCTCCCACCCTCCACCCAGCACCCCGGGGAGAATCTGAGCTCAGCCGACAACAACACAACACACACCGGGGTGAGGAGAGGAGGAGGAGGAGGAAGACAGAGAGGTGTAGAAACTCACCAGGAGAAAGAAGATTTCTGCAGTTTTGGTTATTTGAACATTTTAGATTGAATCACAGATTATTTTTTACAGTCATGTGATAGTGGGAGAGCCTCGAGGGTCAGTGTGCGCTTCTCGGTCAACAAATTTTCATTTTGAAATGAGAAAAATCTACCGTTAATAAATTGGGCAACAAAAATGGAAAACGAGTATTACTGCAGTTGGACCTTTCTGAAAGCCGGCAGAATAAAAGTACATTAACTTCCAGGTTGCAACATAGAAATCTACACAGAATGGAGAACTTACAACCACGTAAACAGAGAAACGGTTTGATTTTTTGTTTAAATATAAAAGGGAAAAAAAAGACCCATTATCTGATTTTATTTGTATTATAGCAGAGTTCACCTGTATTTATAGCTCATTGTTTTTACAGTGTAAACATCTTCAGTTAGACAAAAACAGATTGTTTCCCGATTTTGGTTTTCTTATTTCACAATGAAAATCTGTTGGCCGTAAAGTAGACAGACCCTCGAGGGATGTTCAAGGAACCCTGTTTGCTCAGGGAGGGGGGGGTCCTGGAGGAACCTTTTATTTAACTGGTGTGACTGTGCATTCACTTGCAGTAGGAAATCCCAGCTCTCAAATCACCAAACCAAATTATTGTAATACACTCTATGAGAAGGTACGTACACAGAAACATACTTCTGTGTTAATGTCTTTTAAGCGCGACCATCAACAGTCCACCAGAGATTGGTTTCTCTCTGTGAAATCCCACAAATCATTGAGAGTGAAACAGACACACACACACACACACACACACACACACACACACAAGTTGTTGTGTACTAAAATGACACTGCTGCCCAAACATTATATTAGAGGGACACCCCTCTACTCTCTCCACTGTCTCTTTCCTCCACTCACTCCACATATTCACCAGTCCAACCCTTCAGAAACTGGTCAGGGCCAAGGGCGTGGTCCAGATGTGCTTGGTGCTCTAATTCACCTGGTGGTGCCAATAGTGGGCGTGGCCTAGAACGAGGTCACATGATCAAATTCTCTCCAATCTGTTTTGTACATACATGAATGTCCAACTTAGTTGACCAGTACGAGCCAGACATTGACCCTGTCCTCCTAATACAAATGTCCACGTAGTGTTGGTGTGTATTCATATCAAATGTCCACTTGAAAAAACCAAAACACGCACACTGTTGGCGTGCATGAGGACTGCTGACATCAGCAGATCTGACCGCTGTGGATCTGGATCAGAGTGTTTCTGTCAGATCAAACACAGATTGAACAGTCTGATACAGAGGTCTCACTCCAGACAGGTATCAGGATGCAGCATCGCTCCAAACTTACTTTGAACAGACGTCACACAACAACTCATTTCCCAGAATTCTGCAGTATCTGAGTGTAACTTTATTGACTTTTAATATGATGATGCCTGTTTAACTGCTCATTATTTATTTTATCCCACATTCTAGTTAATTATAGAAACAACTCCAGATAATGTCAAACAGAAGTGGTGCTCCAGTGGACCCTTCTTGTCCTGGGAAAACCACGAATTTCCAGATGTGTTGAATATTTGTGATAAACTGAAGGATGTTCCTTTATACGTGGAGACTTTTTAAACTAAAAACAGTTTAAAACCCTCTCAGATCAGCTGGAAAAATCGTCACAAAGCTGAAACACAAAAACAGGTAACACAAAAAACTTGACCCGTGCAGGACTGTGAGCCTGTTTAGAGCTGGTACAAGTGGACAGCTTTAGGTAAACGTCAGTTTCCACCTGGTATTAGAATGAGTCCCCACTATAATTTAATAGGGCTGCATTAACTGAACTTTATGAGCAGGACTCACACTTTCACACACTCTGTGTGGAAATTTGAAGTTTTCACATCACAGATGACGAAGAAAGACATTAATGCCAGAAAAAGTAGAAGTGTGTCTCCTGCTCCCACCAACAGTCGCTCACAGTGGACGGCAGTAGAGGAAGTTGGACCGCCGTCTAGCCGACACGCTGGAAATAACAAAGTCAGTATTAATGTGGAACGTTTGACAAATTTACAAGAAGGTCCAAATAATGAACAATCTGTCGTAGATAAGTTTCTCCTCACTCAATAACTCTAAAATTGTGTGTTTTTTAAATGGAGTCTGGGTGATATTGTGGTTACAGTGAAACAGACAGTTCACAAACATCTGCTGCTGATGTCTGCAAAGATATGTTGTGAAATATGTCTCAACGGTTGTTTACGCGGTATCTAGAGACGGAAACTTGTGATCAGATGACCCAAGATTCATTCTAGTACCAGCTATAAACAAGCTGATAAGAACAAAAAAATCTGATCACATAATTGTGGTCGGTTCTGAGCTCTGCAGGTCATGAGCTCTGGACCCGTAAAGGACTCTGATATGTGGTTCTCACAGGACAGCCACGCTACAAACGTGAAGCTTTAAGTACATTAAAATATGGTTTGGAATGCAGTATTGTATGTATTGTATTAGTCCTTCAATGAACAGAAGCCTCTGAATAGTAAATAACATTAAATTGTGGACATATGCACTGACAGACACACGAGAGAAAAACACCCAGAGAGACGGTCGATAGAGCATTAGCGTCTTTATTTTTTGTCGTTGTTGCATAGGAAATGCACATCTTGCTTCCAGTAAATTGAGTCTGCGTGGACATGGAGTCACTAATGGGGCCGGGAGGGGGGAGGGGATGGGCCTACACTTCACCAGTTGAACAGAAAAACAACAGTCGGAGAGGAAAGAACAGAAAGAACGGAACAACAGAGTGACAACAGAAGAACTGACAGCAGTAAGTCGGAGAGGACAACGGGGAAGTCAGTGCAAACTCACAGCTTCAGAACACAGAGGATGGGACAACAATGGCACCGGACACAACTAATGGACACTAGTTAACATTGAACAAAAGTGTAACACCAGATCGTGGGCCGGTGCAACGGCGGCGGCGGCGGCGGCAGAAAACACCGCCCTGTTCCATAAAAGAGTTGTAGAGGCACAAGGTTTAAGTCAGTTCTGGGTGAGGATGGAGGTGACGGTCGGAGATGGCGATGGAGGAACAGGATGTGGCGATTTAGGGCAGTGAGAAGGGGATAATGGGAAGGACGGCGTGATGATGTGAATGTGTGACTCAGACTGCGGCGGGCGGGAGGCGGTCTGCCCAGCGACGCTCGGGGTGAAGATAAAGCTCTCCGTCCTCGAGATTGTCTTTTGTTAGCTACAGTTAGCATCGCCTCCAGACGGCAGCGTGAAAGGCAACGAGAAACGCTCATCGAGCTGATTGATCATCTGTATTGGTGATCGAGTGGCGATCGGCTCGAATATCGGAACAGGCTGGAAAACATGAATGTGGGCAGTTTCGGGCCGTTGGTATCCCTGGTTTGTTTGTTTCAGCTGATAATTTGAACACAGTGAAGAAAATTTCTACGTCTGGATGCAAATATTCCTGTGCTGCTTCACCTTTTAAAGGACCCTGCCAAAGTTTTTGCGTTTTAGTCCGTCTTCTGCACATTATGTACACTGTTTTATGTCTTTAAATACTGATTTCCTCCCGGCAGCCATTTATTTCCACTGATTTCCTTCTGATTAGGAACTTATTAAAGAGTTGAAACTTGGTCCCATCAACACTGTAGCATTTCAGTGCTAATATTTTTTGTTACTGGTTGACAATATTGGGCTGTATGAGTTTTAATTTGGGCTCTAAAGGACTTTTGAAAAACGACCCCTTATTTGAAGGGGTGTGAAGAAACTATGGTACTGTATCTCTATCTCCCCCTAGTGGCAGACTGCAGTATAGGTCATAAAGCCTGCTATTAGCTGATGGGACAAACAAAAAAATCATTAAAAAAGTAATTTTAGGTCGTTAATCGAGCTGATGTTGGTTTATTTTTATCATCAGTTTGGTTTTAATTAGTTATTTGAAGTTATAAAAAGGGGGTTTCACATCATTGACAGCTGTTGGCCAGGCTTATGGTCGGGACCTTGATACTACGATATATATATGTGTTTGTATATATATATATACACACACACATATGTAGATATATATTTCAGAACTAGTGCTGAAAACTGCTCTACCAGAGGAAACCAAACACTCCAGATCTTTAGAAGTAATGTAAAAGCAGAAAAACTTGCAAAATCAGTGGCATTGTCCTTTAACTAAACAGTCTGGTCATCAACAAAGTTTGTCAACCCAAAGTTTTTCGGGCCTAAAAGAGATGCACAAGTCGAAGAAACTGTTTAGTTTCAAAGCTGCATCGACAGGCTGCGAGTCGAAAACAGAGAGGAGCCACTGGAGGTGAGCTAGACAAGCCAATCGACCCCAGCTGGCCTGGGACTGGGAGACAAACGGGGGAGGGAGGGAGGGAGGGAAGGAGGGAGGGAGGGGAGTCTCCCAGGTGCTGGCTACCTCTTTCTCTTTCTAGACCTTTCTCATCCTGGAGGAGCGGCGGCTCGTTTGAAGCCTTGCCGAGGGAGGCGCAGCGAAAGAGGGGGGATATTCGGTCCCAGATAGTGCTGAGCGCTGCAGAAAAAGGCCATCGATTCGGTCTCCTGCAGGAAACTGCCCGGGGGAGGAAAAGGAGGAGGAGGAGGAGGATTCACCCAGAGCCACGCAGAGATTTCTCAGCCTTCTGGTCAATGGAGGGGAGAGGGGAGGGGAGAGGGGAGGGAGGGGAGGCCAGCCGGGTGTTTGCTGATGTTAAAAGTTAGCTGGAGATTGTCGGATTAAAACCCCGCGAGGCTGCGGCGGTCCGCTGGCGGCCCGGGGCAGTCATCATGGTGGCACACCCATCAGATCAATGACAATAAACTGACACTCTGCGGAGGTGGTTTCATGTCGGGATGAAAAACAGTCCCATGTGTGATGAAGATGAAGATAGAGGAGCAGAAAAAGGTTTGAGGCATACAGGGAAGAAACAGAAGAACCAAAAACAGTAACATAACAATCTGGTTTTTGTAATTTTTTTTCTCATTTGTTGTCATCGTAACAGTTTACTAGGCGATTATGGAAGAGCATGCAGTTATATCTTATGATTATTGTACATTAGCTATAATCAGAGGGGCCTGACAGACAGCAAAGGCTACTGGTGGTCAGAAATTTCAACAATTACAAACAATTATTGTATTCAGTATTCAGAAGAGCATTTATAATACAGGTTTTCACAGGCACTACATTTGATCTTTTTCAATATATCGTGTAATATGCTGGTTTGTTTTTATTTTTCATTTCTTTTATCAGATTTTTAACTCGTTCGGTCCGTAGAAGCTGGGATCTGGAAGGATTGATCGTAAAAGAAGGCAGAGGCTGAAATTTTCACACAAGTCCACGTGGATGTTTTTAAGTCAGTGCATAGTTCTCATGCAGATTAGACTGCTATGCTTTGATACGCCGTCAGGAAGCATGATAGTAAGGTTCAAATCGTCACATTTTCCAGCTTACCTCCCCTTCACTGGCTTGATTTAACGCTTAGCACCATGTAATGGTTTTGCAACAGGATAAATAAATATCTTTGCAAAGGAGCAGTGACACTGTAATTCATTACAGTTGAGCGCTGGAGAGCAGCTTCAGTGTTACCTGCCTCCTCGTCCAATGACTTTCCTTCATCTCTCTAAAGTGATGCCATTTATACTCATTTCTCCCCCCCCCCACCCGGCTCGTGCTCCGGCGCCGTGAAGGATGTCTTCCTTCTGCTCCATTCTTGCGCTGAAGACGACAAGAACAGGGGAAATGGTGGCGCTCTCTTTCACTTTAGAGTGAGTAAAAGCTCAGAGTTCCCAGGACCTTTCCAGGACATTTTCCAGGAGACAATACAGGACAGCACTCGCTCGCAAGCGGCGGGCGTCGTTTAAGGGACACTCCGCTGTTAGCTTGCTTTCGTGGCATGCGGTTTTTCCTGCTTTCCAAATTGACTACAGTTTTTCCTCTACCATTAATTTGGCCACAAACTATTCAAATTTTCCAGGACAACACAGACTATTTCCAGGATATTTGGTCATTTTAATCAATTTCCAGGTGTTTCCACGACTGGAAAACTCTAAATTTTTTCCAGGTTTTCAAGGAACCCTGAAGCTGCTGGAGGTGGATTTCAGGTGTCACTGAAGCTCTCCCCGGTCCTTCTATGATTGCTCTACGAGTCCTGAACGTTCAGCGTCGCTATAATTCACATACTCAGGTCTCTAAAAGTGATTGAAAGTACTCGGGTGGATTAAAAAATACCCTGGTCTAAAAGCCTGAAGAATTCTGCCCCTCTTCACATCGAGCCGTTCAAATTCGATTACAATCCCGACCCCCTCCGAACGGCAGACTCGCACAGCGGTCCGGTCTGATGGATTTCTCTGCCCAGGGAGAATTTGGACAAACGTGAAGACAACAAAGGCGTCAGCAATAAAAAGCCCGGCCTTCATTCAACCCTGTTTCCTTGATGGAGCGGCAGAATTCCTCAAAGGCAAAATCCCCAAAAAATCAACTCATGGTGGGAGGGAGGGGGTGAAGCAGGAGGAGAGAGAAGGGGGGAGGCGAATGCATCTTTCTGGAGTTTTTAAGACAGTCTTGGACTCCAGCGTTCGCTCACACTGCTGGTCGGACAAGCTTTGGATTCGGGGCGAACGGAGGAGGAAGCTGCAGGATTCGTCGGCCGCTCAGAAGCTCAGTTTGTCAGATTAGTTTTTGGTTGTCAATTGAGTCAGAAAATGTCCCTGCTGGTGTGTGTTAGCACGTTGGTTCAGCTGGTCAAACGCAGCGTCGGGCCTTATCGCTCTCTCAGCCTCGCCTTTGATTTGTGTGTTTCGTGGAGGAGGAGAACGTGATGTAGTGAGCCTCACATTATTCAGCCTCCACCACCACCACCACCACCCAGTAAACTGACACTCACACTTTTCCCTTCAAGAACTCCAGTTCCAGTGGGATTTGAGTTGCTGCTCATTTACTGTTTATACCTGCACCTAAAACTCAACCTAAAAAACCACAACCCAACCAAAAAAATACAATAAATCTTCAGCTTTAACCTCTAAAACGGGCAATCATATGAACACATAGTTAAAAGCAAGTCTATCTGTGGTACTAGACGTCTGATTTGCCACTTAAAAGTCCCTTTCTTTATAAAAGGCCTTTGACTGTTTGTCACTCAAACCCAACATGTTTTTATGGCTTTTATCAAACGGCAACATGTTGGATTCAGAGCATATTTGATACACACTGCCCACGCAATGCGGTACCGTTTTCCTATCTTTAGATTTGACGCTACAATCTAAAACTAGGTTCTGTTCTCACGAGTAACGTACACATGGGCATCTTCTAGTTCTGTGAACAAGCCTGACTGTGAGTACAATGTGAGAAATGTGTTGATTAATCAATAAGTTGTTCTACAGAAAATACATTAGTAAACTATTTGATCATTAAAAGGTCCAGTGTGTAGGATTTAGTGGCATCTAGTGGTGAAGCTGCAGATTGCAACCAACTTAAAGTGCAACCTTTACGATCAAAATCTGGAGCCGCAAAAACACTGCAAAACCTGATGAGTTAGTTCGACTCAAACTATTTTAAGCATTAAAAAATGTTTGATTTGAATAACTTGTTTATTGTTAAGATAAATTAAGTTAACTGTACTCAAAACTAGTGACTATATTAGAACTTATTTAAAATGTGTGAAGAGAATTGATCTGAATAAAGTCACTTTAACGCATCTTCTTTATACAAATGTTACGACTTCAATTTACTTCCACTAAAGCAAATTATTACATTATTGATATTGAATATCAAAATGGTAGCCAAATAATTTTGGGGTTCATCACAATGAAACAAACTGGAATTAAATCCCCAATACTTAAAATACTGCACTAATTTAAGTTCACTCAAAACAACTGAGTTACTTCAACATGTTTAAATTGTGAGAATGAGGATTATGTTAATTTACTTCTTATATTAAAATATGCTGAGCCAGAGTCAAAGCCACAGTCCCCAAAAGCGCTTCCCTATCTGGATTTTAAGGTGATTTTACACTAATAAATTCCTAATCGAGATCCTCCTCACTGTTACACACTGGACCTTTAACGCATGTTATGACCAAAAAGTCACCAATTCCAGAGTCACAAATGTGAATATTTACTGTCTTCTATGATAGTGAACTGAACTTCTTTGGGTTTTGGACTCTTGGTTGGACAAAAACTGAATATTTTTACATGTCACCATGGGATCTGGTTAGCTTGTGACGGACATTTTAGCTAATTTCTTACCAAAATCACCAAATTATTGAGAAATTGTTGGTTGAACGCTGTCAAAATACTTTTTGGAGGTCAAAGCACAAGTCCTGATGACAGACAGGGTGTTTAATTGAATCAATTCTCCCTAATTCACAGGTGGGACATCGACAATCTTAACGTTGACGTTGAATATTTACGGAGGTAATCAGGAATGTAAGAAATGAGCAGCGACTCTGATCGCACTGGAAGTGTCCGTCGTTTCTTTGTTTGACTTTGTTCCTCAATAATCTGCTGCATGAATGTGATGCCGTGATGAGCAGCAGTGGATGTGTGGATGGACGGAGATCAGAGTGGACCTCCAGGCTCAGGGAGGTGGAGGAGGAGGAGGAAGAGGAGGAGGAGGAGGAGGAGGAGGATGTGATCTTGTGGGCCAGTGAAGAAAGAAACAGATGGAAAAGAAAAAGAATCATGTTGCATAATCAAGCTGTTTATTTTCCTGCATGGAATGGTGAACACAAAAAAAGATGCCTAGATGCATTTATAGTAGGGGCATCCTTTGGCTGGCTATGTCATTGTCTCCTGCCTAAAACTAAATTTTTAAAATGCATAAAAAAACGCTTGCTTTTCTTACCAATTTTCCTCAGAATTACCTAGATTTAGCTTCATCAACACTGATGCAACAAATAACCTTCAAAACATACAGCATACTGTAACATCCATTTACAATGGTCTTATCACCACAGCGCCCTATACTTTTTAAGTACAGGAATATGCTATACCATCAACAGAGGAAATGTCCTTAAATACATACAAAAAAGGAAAGCAAATAAAGAAACAAAATAAAGAAAATAAGGAAACAGGAAAGTTTTCAACTTAAATCCAGTTCCCAGAAAAACAAACCAAACCAGTTCTAGTAATGTGGCCTCGATACAAACAATCAGAAAATTCACAACACTAGTTTTTCCTCATTTAATCAATGTTACAAAAGTCCTGCATTATAAAATAGGGCAGCTTTAAAATCAGTGTAATTAATAAAACTATACAACATACAAACATGTCTCCCAGTCGGGGCCCGACCGGGGCCCCTGCTGCCGTCCGTTAAGAGCTAACTCTTCTCTGCGTCTCTTCGCTGCTGTACCAGAACTAAATTACACACACAACACAAGAACAAAAAAACACACTGCCCAAAACTATTGCTTTTATAGTCTTTTTCATTTTTTCTTTCTTTAAAAAGGGTGCAATTTTGTCGTTTATCTTACACACACACAGCCAAAAGTCGCTGATTAGATGCTAGGCTGTTTCACAAGGTTTTGTGACACTTAAAAAAATGTCCGTGCAATTATTTTTTTTTATTCCCTTCGCTCTTTTTAAGCCCTGGAAGCTTTTTTTTTTAATGTAATACTTTTTCACTATTGTCATTTATTTCATATTTAGTGCAGATAATTAAGGAAGTAATGCCCAACTCATGGCTAAAGGGGTAGGCAAGAACAGAGACAAAAACAAACACACTAAGAGGAAACACACAACCCGCACAAGTGGAACTACTAAACCATCACAGCCGACGGCGGCGCGTCGCTGTCCGTTAAATTAATCAGACGGACTGAACACACAACGGGTAAACAATTTATTTACTAAATCCTCTGCCGAGCAGGGCGGGGCGCGGTTAAAATGTTGGACGTCATCAAAAATGTCTTCGATTAACTGTTTTCTGCGCGATGGAGAAGAAGTTGGACTTGTTTAAGGCTTGTTTGTGACCAAAGGAATAAAAAAAAAACTTTAGGAAAGAGAGACCCGAATGTAGTATTGCGGCCGTCTGGTAGATTATCAAAACAGGAAGGAAGGAAGGAAGGAAGGAAGGAAGGAAGGAAGTAGGATTCCCCCGAGCGACGGCGGCTCAGCTTAGCTGGAGCATCGCCGCGGGGCTGGCTTCACCATTTTTAGGGACCGACCACAGAGCACGATGCCAGTCGCGTGCACGCCAACTTTGGTTGAAAGTAAAGAAAAGGAAAATAAAACAATGTAAGACAAAGTAAGTCTAAGTGAGTGCAAGCAGGTATTGCATATTTTTATGTCCTCATCGTTCATTTCTGGGAACAAAAGTAGAACAAACTGAAAAATGAAATCAGGAAGACGAAAAGTTTTTGCTGTTTGGAGATTGCAGCGACAGGATGAAGGGGGCGGGTGGGGGGTAAACATGGTACACTGAAGCTTAATGAGCAGTTATAAACCATCTCCATCCATTAACTCCATCGGCTCGAGCAAGATCTGGACATCACCAAATTTAGTGAAATGAGTGCAAAGTCCTCAACAGGACAAATGTTTTAAATATTCCTAAATATTCTCACAGATAAAAACTACAAAGAAATCATCAAAATTCTTTAGAAGTTAAGGAGCCAAACCTTTATAGCTGCTCAACTGAACTGTTGGGGAATAAAATGAACTATTTACTATTGTAAACCTAAGCGGCTTCCCGAGGGACAAGGAAATAAAATGAAGCTGCTAAACTCAAAGTTAGCTAATCTGACTCAATGTGTTCACTCAGGTTTATCTGCTGAACTCTACCACCTGGGAATAACATACATTGTTAGTTAACCTTAGTGTAAAATGAACGGTTAGCAAATCTAAATCAAAGTGTTTTAATGACTAAACTGTTCGGAAATAAAGTGAACTTTTCACTAAGCTGCAAAACTTAATTTAGCTAACCCGACTCAAAGTGTCCCTCAACTAAAGAGCTAAATCAAATCAACTGTTGGGGACTCGGTGCTCATCTCTGGGTTTCAGCGTGTTGCCGTCCGTTAGCGGAGCTCTGGAGATGATTGTAGCTGGTATAGATTCACCTGTGAGGTCTCTGCTGAGCGCTGCAGGTGGGGGGGGGGGCAGAGAGCAGTGCAGAGCAGGCCTGAGACCTCTTAAATCTGAGATATTACCAGTGAGTAACTGTGGAAGCTCTTCAGCTCAGACTGTCATTACCTCCAGTTTACCTACAAAACCTCAGTGGAGGAAAAATAAGAAAATAAAGGTTGTTGGTTTTTTTTTTAAAAAAAGGAAGAAACAATAAAACTCTCCACGTTGGATCTGGACCGTAGCTCAAGGCACATTGATGAGGAACATCAGTTTTTCGTGCAATTTGATGAAAAGAGGAAGTGAAAAGCAGAATTGATCTGTGTGTCGTGGGACGAGAGGAGGGAGGAGGAAATAAAAAGAAGATGCCGAGAAGCGAAGAGAGCTGGTTGTTTGTGAAGGAGCGATAGAAAAAGGCCTCGACGGGGCCAAACTAATGACGGCTGCTGGCAAGTGCCTGATGTTGGGTTTACAATATAGTGTCTTTATCTCACTAACTACATCATCTATGGAAAAATTTGTCACTAACACTAGAACATGCAGATTTTTTTTTTTTGTTCTTTTTTTTTTAACGTTTTCACTTAAATTCACTTTTGATCGACGCTGGATGGTCGTAAGAGTGTGTGTGTGTGTGTGTGTGTGTGTGTATATATTTATATATATATAGTATAGGAAAGGAAAAACAAAAACTGAAGTTGAATAAAATGGTAAGTTGCATGTGAAGCGCTCGGCTGTCTATTTGTGGACGAAAGCTTCCAGAGAGTTACCCTCTGCTCTGCCTCTTCATCGCTAAACCACACCCCCCTGATTACACTCGCGGCCCATTGGCCAACTGCAGGAATAAGTGCTTTTGATTGGACGCCGGGGTGGGACCTCTAGGAGACCCCCCTCCCTGGGCGGCCGATCGTCGGGGCGACCCGTTCGCCGGGCGGCACCCGTTAAAAGATTATCTCGCCAACAGAAACCGGAGAAAAAACAACTCGTTATATTTTCTCCTGATTTCGCCTCGTGAGAAATTCTAATAGCTTTTTTGTGTTTTAAGTAAAACGATGTGCTCATTAAAATAAGTTAATCGCTTTTTTTTCTCTTTTAAGCAAACAAAAAAAATTGATTGTTTTTTAAAAATGATATTTCTTAAAGGGATTCTTGTTCTACCATGCTAACAGCTTTACAAGATGAACAAACAAACAAATAATAAACAATAAATGTGAATACAGCTCCCCTTATTTCTCACAAGGCTATGGTTTCTACTTCGATGCTGTGTCGTCGTCTTTTTGTACCCCAGTATTTTAGAGTCCCAGAGGTGTGAGCGGACTAGGAAGAAAAATATATTTTATATATACTTTCCAACAACTGATTTCAACGAGCTATCTTACAAAGATATTTAACTATCCAAACAGCTATAGCCAACAAAATTGCACTTTCCTCGTGATCAATATTCCACTGGTGGAGTTTTCTCCTGTCTGCCTCGCTGCGTTTTGTTCGGACACCAGAGCTTTCTGCCCCCCCACCCTCAGCTTCGCCCGCACTGGTGGATGGATAGAGGAGGAAGAGGAGGAAGAGGAGGGGGACCAGCTGAAAATGACGGCTTAAGAGAAAAAAAAAATCAATGAGCCATGAAGCCAGAAGCCTCCCAGATAAACCACCAGCGTCTGGTCGCAACACATCAACACACCTGTGTGACCCCCCCCCCCCCCCCGACTCCCCACCGTCACCCCCTCACCCCTCCACGAGTAGTTCAGGTAATTACTGCTTTCCATTAAGCACTGGTCCATGTCCTTGGAAAGAGGCTCCCCCCCGCCCCCTCCCTGACGTGCCACCAACCAGGGGGCGGGGTCAGGATGGGGGTGGAGTCTCAAGAGGTGGGGTGAGGGCGAGGGGGAGATATTAGCTGCTGTAACACCCCCCCTCTCCCCCTAAAAACGGTGCATCCCATCCTGTCCCACCAACCAAACCAACCCCACCAGGATGGGGGGGTCGGATAGTGCACTGGATGCCGCAGAGGATGATGGGAGAGTAGTTTCTCCGGAGGGGGAAGCTCTGTGATTCAGTCTTGCGGCGTTCCCAGAAATCAAAGGCGCTCAATCACCCCCCCCGACTGATCAGCCTGGTCTGGTTTTGAAGGGGGGGGAGGGGGGCGGGGTCTGGCACTATATATGGACATCGACATATGAGCCATATGTCTACAGGGGAAGTCTACAGTTTACAGAGCGGGCGTTTAACACCGGGGGCGGGGCGATCCGCTGTAGCCATGCTGATGCTGCTGAGTCTGTGTATGGCGCTGGTGGGGGTGGAGTCAGGCGCAGAAAGTGGGAGGAGGGTCGGGGGGGCAAGACAGGACTCTCTGTCGCAGCTGGCATCAAAAGGTCAAAAGTCGAGGAGGAGGCTGCAGCGATCTGTCGTACAGGTGGGTGGAGGGGGGGAGGGGCCTCTGGA